TGGTCTTTTCTATATGAGCTGAACAGTTTTCTGTTCACCAAGGTCTTTAGTTACAATTTCTGTAACTTTCAAACATCCTCAGTTTTTAAATCTGAGTATGAACTTGCCTTTATTTTGAGTTTCTTATTTTAATTTTTAATATATTATTTTGTATTTCACTTTTTTTTTTATTTACTTAATGTCATCTCCTTTCAGAACTTTATCCAATACATAATGAGAAATATTTCTATTGATTAGTTTATTAAGAAACAGGGGTCAATTCACAACCTAAAGAATTTGTACACTAGACATGTCTGACAGAAGAGATAAGATTTTTTATAAAGCTACCAAAACAAAATCAATTAAAATAAATCCTATCTTCTCCTCAGAATGGCTTGGGTTTCAGATCAGGAAGTTATTCATAAAGGAAGAGTTTGGACATCACTGGAAGTAAAATTCTAAAGCCTTAGCATTGGAATTAGGAAGCATTTCCTACTCCTAACAACCCCTTCCCTTTAGTAAGAGAACTGATAATTTTGGCAGAGAATAAGTGATTTCAGCAACTGATTTTTAGCTGACTCATAGTTTCCTACTATATTTCACAGTGGCAAGCCTAGTTGTATGCTGCATATCTTAGGAGAGGATTTTTTGCAAATACTCTACCTGGATGTTGTGTGATCTTCATAATGAATATTTCAGAGACTGTCTTTGCTACAGATGTGATTGTCCCTGTGTGTGTGTGTTTAAAAAAAATAACGTAAAGCTGGAAGTTTAAGAGGTTTAGAGTTTCTAACTATAGCAAGCAACTTTTCTTGGAAATTTATTATGGTATTCCCTTTTTTGCTAAATCAAAGTTAAAATTTATGTGAAAATTAGACAGAAAAGGTATTTCCACTGGAAGAAAACTGACCATACATATTTATACCATCCATACATTAACACATTTCTCTCCATCCTCCATTAAAAAAAGACACAAGAAGAATAATTCAAATATTCGTTCTGATTTCTTTCAAAATGCAAACTTTCACCCATCTTGCACATCTTAAGCAATATTTGGTCAATGGATGTAAAACAAATCACTTCAAGGACAGTGGCTTGCACAGTTGCTAAATTACTGTAAGTAGTTTTGCTGCATGTCCAAGAATCCCTTTCTGTCCCTATTATAATCTGAGAGCTGCTGAGTTTATAGTGAGCTGTCCTATAAGTACCTATACCTAGTCATTTAATGGGGACTCTTTTAAACCTGGAAGAAGCTCAACTGTTGCATGAGAAATTAATGGTTCCATAATTTTTCACCATAGAGTGACAATAGGTTGTCAATATTTGTATTTTTATGTGTTGATTTTTCAATAGCAGTTTCCACAAATGCTCCGAGTGCAGAAGGTTTCCATTCCCCTAAGTATGACATTTGTGAAAATTCCTTGTCCACATGATAATTACCTTACGTGTAGAAATATTCAGGGTTATCTTGTCTGCCTCAGAGATCTCTGCTTCACTTTTGATCTGAAAGTTCCTTTCCACTGATAAAAGTATGAAGAAAAATTCAGGACAGTGTTATTGCTGAGTATGTTGTGGAAATGATGGTCACCTAACAAGAGTAATTAGTCTGGATTCCAAATTCCTCTTTCAGACTTTTTCTGCTTTCAGAACTAGGACTGTAAAGAAATCTTGCTTAATTTACAAAATTAAATCATAGCTGTTTGAGTACCATTATACTGCGTGTTCTAACCAAAGTCATTCCAGAGATACCTATAAGACAGTCACAGAATACTTTTGTCTCCTCTCATCATTGTCCTCATCTTCTTTCATCATTTCGTCTTCCTTCTTAAAAGCATCTTGGGTTTAGAATAGGCAACCATAGCCAAGAAGGGAACAAATTAAGGTTCTAGGATAGAGTGGAGAATTTTTTGCTGGTTGGGGGCGGCCCTGAATAGGCTTTGGAAGAGTGAATGAAGGCTGCAGTTGATAAAGTTTTCTCAGTCACATGTGCAGGGTCAAGGATCCCCCCTCCCAATTTTTAAGGGAAGCAATTGGAGGAAAGAAACAGTTTTTAAAACTAGGTTAAGCCTAATTTAGAATTGGTTTATGTGCTGTTCCATCTGAGAATGATAGGAAGCCATGCTACCAATTTTCAGCAACTGAGAACATCATC